TTTTCCCCAGCGACTTGTCAAACCTATGAGATTATAAAAGAGAAATAGAAAGTAAAAAATGAAGCAAAGCACGAGGATCGATCGATTCAAGAGAAAAAGAACTAGTTAATTTTCTCTTCAACATTTACATATACTTACACTTACTATTTAAGTTTCATCCTTGAGATTTTCAAGCTTCTGTAATCAAATTTCAATCCATACCAGCACATTCCTTCATTGCTCGCAGCTGGCTGACTCGAGAGATATAGTCCGTTGAGGTGTGAATCAAAACAACTATTATACCACCAGGCCCCTTTAAAGTGGGCTGCGCAACTGACACCGCTATTGTCATTGTCTTGGTCAAATGTGCTGAATCTCATGTTRTTATGGATCCTTCTGGCTAATGTCCCTATTGTAAGAGTGTCCTTAGCAGTTCCAGAGCATCCGCTTACATTCAGGCGGTAAAAGTCACTCTCATCAGCGATAGAGAACGATGAATACAAAGCATAACCCGTGTTGCCCGTCCAGTCCCCAAGATCAACACSTAATGATGTTAGTTGTCTCTTGGTCAGTCGGTGAATCTTGTCAAGGCCCAACCAAAACTCACCAGTCAGGTTACCAAAACCGGTTTTGTAGTCTTGCCAACCGCGATAGAAGTCTRCGGAACCATCAAAGCGGTTCTGGAATACAGTCCACCCTCCGCCATCTGTGGTCATGTCGCAATAGACTGGGAAGGAGCCTTGTCCATCAGGATCGATTTGATAGACTCGATCTGCATTGAAGCCATCAGAACGAAGTGCAGAACAATCGGGGTAGACTAAAAGAAATCAATATATCTATTAATTTTCTAATCGCCATTCATTCCTTAAACTCCACAACTTCTATAGGCACTGCTCCCTATTGATCTGGGGGGGCTCAGAAATGTTTTTGTTTTAAAATCATGAAGATTAAAGTGCATATCCGATACAAAAGACATGCCATTTATCGGTGAAAAAATTTTTATGAAGACATTTTGTACGGTTTTGCTAGTTAACTTTTGCAGGGATATATATATATATAGTATACACTCTCTAATGATATGATAAATATATGCAGATGAAACAACTGATTATTTAAATGACACCTACATGGATGCAAAGAAACGTTAAAGCCACTCACGTATTTCGCAGTGTCGTCCATTAGTTCCATTACAGACGCAATGATAGTCATCATTATCGTAGTCAGGGTAACACAGTCCATTGTTCTGACATGGTGATGGATCCATACACTTGCTCTACAAATGGAATAAAAATGTTCAAATAGCTATTACATTCTTTAGGGGATGATGGAGTGCAAGCGACCCCTATATTGGAGAAGAGGAGAGGGGGTACTCCTATGTAAAAAAGGCAGAGATTATCGTCGAAAAGAATTAGATTTTACCCTTAAAGGGGAATAGTTTGAAAATTGTCCTGGTTTGATTTGAGCACTTAAAGAAGCCTCTTTGAAATACTGCAAGATAAATCATTTAAAGCAAAACTCATTGACATTATTGCAACRTGCACTGCAAGTCATCAAATATAAATTTGATGACTTGCAGTGCTATAAATTCATTTWAAAAAAATAAATATCTCTGATGAAATCGATAAATGTCGATAAATGGGGTAATGCAAAGAACGAAAGAAACGTCTATTTTCAATAAGACTTCTAGAATTTCAAATAGAAAAAAAAAAAAAAAAAAAAAAAAAAAAAAAAAAAAAAAAAAAAAAAAAGGGCGCGATTACACGGACGGAGAGCAATTTCCCCTGAATCTTGCCGGAGTGTTTTTGTTGCAACGGAGTAGCAATTGTTGCCAAAAGTAGAAACGGATTCTATACTTTTTGCAAAAATTGGTGCAACTTGTTTTGCAACATCTGCAATGCCCCCTTGCAAGTTTATAACTATACTGACTAAACGTCCGAGACGTCAGTGTATATAGTTTCAACAGGAGTAACAAACTTTTTTATACGGTGTTTAAATTCCCTCAGCTTCTTGGTGACTTGTCTTTTTTCCCATAATGGTTTGATTTGCCGATTTTAAATTCCAAAAGTATTGTTACAAACTTTTTTACGTAGTGGAAAATTAAAAAATATATCACAGGCTTATGGTATGAGTTGCCGGTAAACTATACTAACCACTGGGTAGAAGTAGTGGAAGTCTGTACTTGTAACGTAGGAAGATCCTGAGCTGTACTTGTCTGTTCTCAGTAACTGACAGTCGTGTTTGCCATTGATACGATTCCCAAAGTTAAACGACAAACATTCAAGGTGTTTTGAACATCTGAAGGCACACGAGCCAAGTTTGTTGACTATGTGAGTCTCGATAAGGTGAGTTGTGATTCGACGAAAAGCATCTGCTTTAAATCCCTCGAACACGACTCCATCAGGAGTAACTTTTTTACTTTCTGTAGGAAAATTGTTGTTAAGAAAAATCCCGAAAAGAATGAAATACGACAAGTGCATGATTCCGAAGTCCACATGCACCGCAGCAAAGCCGTACAGAAAAGGCGTCTTTTGTTTTCTGGCAATGGGAATGAATGTCCTTGAATTTCTTCTAGTAGTTATGTTTATTCAGTATCTAGGTGTATTTTCGTCTTTTGTTCTGTCGTAATAAGATAATAACTCCCTTGTCAATGTTGAAGTCACGACACACTAGGTGGTAATAGAATATTAAAGAGTACCTATAGCAATGCATTGTGAGAAGAACTAACCGCTCTCCAGGATGGCTCGGTAGTGGGTTCATTGGAAATCTACAGAATGACAAAGTAATGAGGTTGTTGTAATCTTATTAACGTAAAGGACGATTGTTTTCGCTATTTTTCTTTCTTAGTTCATTCCTTCGTTTCTTTATTCCTTTCTTTCTTTSTTCGTCCCTTTCCATTCTTCTTTCCTTCACTCGATTTAGTTGGTATGTGTAGTATTTTAATATTTAGCATTTGAGATGTAAAATCTATCGAATAAGCGGCCGCAATTAACAAAATTAAACCAAAAGATTGCTTCCTGCAAGAGATAATAGATTGAGTATTTTGTATACGTAGGTACCATAGTTATCAAAATCAAAACATCATTTTATATGCACTGTATATATGTTTATATTACAAAAGACAGCAGGGATTATAAGAGAACAGAATAAATGCTGAATCACCATTATTTATTAAAACCGCCACCCTAGTACATTGATAATTAACTAAGCTAGGTGATTCAAAAAAAAAAGTTTTTCGTGAAGTTCGATTTCGATAATATTAGTTTTCAAAATAAAATTCGAGTTCTTATTTGAGTTATTGCAATATCATACCACAAGATACGTTTCAAAAATAATTCACCGTTTTGTTAATATTATGGCAGGAATATTTTTTATTTTTTGAGCGAAGAAGACACTAGATCTCTACACTACGCTACGCAACAACAAAGATTTGTTGCTCTCGGAATGGTAAATACGAGCAACATTTGCTCTGTAACTTGCAACACAACAATATGTTGTGGTATTTTGTAGCCCGTATACACCGCACCTTACTCAGTTTTGATTTTCTAAGAGAAAACATTCGTTGGCATAAAATTAAGAGGGTTCTGATGTTGTCATAGCAACGTCTTACGTCATTTTTTGATATTTGTTTTTCGGGTTTACTTGCTTGTCATATTACGGCCATATAAAGTTTCTTCCAGGACGTTAATTATTGTGAGGATCTATTGTGAGTGTATATGAAAGTAGAAAACACTTTCAAGCCCCCTTAAAAGTCAGATAAACAGTGTCTTTTTACTCGGGCTTTCGAAGAAATGCCCGAGGTATAAATTGGGCTTCGTTATTTTTTTTCTTCAGTCACAAATCGCCTTCGAAGCCCTAAGGCGCATGCGTCAAATCAAAGTCTATCTATCTAACACCCTCAACATTTTTAGCACACTTGATTTTGCACAGACTTTGTACCATCTAAAAAGGTGACAATGTTCACCAAGAATTTTTTCGATTTTCTGCTATGAAGCCCGAGTACACGCAGATATGCGTCTAGTTCTTTTTAATAAGCACAAGTATATATTATTCCAAATTTGTTTCAAGCAACTGAAGAAATTATTTCACTTTCAGAAAATTACACTCTTTCATATTCGTCTAGGTATATTTTTTACAAAATAAACTGTACATTAAATATATCGTTCCGCAACGAGTGACATCATAAAATGATTCTACTTTACATATAAAAATTAATTGTGTAGATTTAATCATCGTCATCATCGTCGTCCATGTCTTCCATCTCCTCAGCTGCTTCCACTGCTTCTTCTTGCGCTTTCTTTAAAGCCCTCTCCTCTTCCACTGTTGGGTCGTCTATTTCCGTTACTTCCGGTAAGACAGGGTACTCTTTCATTAACTCTGGGGGAGGGGGAGGGGTGTAGTTGTCTGCATCGTATTTGTGTCCCCATCCGATGTAAATATTTTCAAATTTCCTAAAAAGAATCAAATCATAAACATTTGAAACTCTGGCTTTAGTTCACCCAGTCGATAGTCATTATAATACTGTTTTACTCCGACGAAGGACTAGGACCAGTTTTTTCATCTTTTCACGGTGTTTTATTTACCTTTTTATCATTACTGAGTCATTACAATATCTATGAAGACGAACTGATTTATAAATAGGGAGAAAATGTGTGCACGTCTSACTTCAAAAAAATTGTTTTTTAAGGTGTTTTTTCCCCCCGAGATATTATTATCATTATATTATTATTATTATTATTTTAAAAAAGTCAACCCTCCTTATTGAAGAAGATGGTTCTTCACCAATCACCAATCACCAATCTAATGGAATAGAGGAGATAAAATAAAGTCGCTCATTGAATACCTGTCTTTAGCAAACGCATAGCTTCCTGGCCATCTGTTAGATCTCATCACTGCCAAAGCGTACCGAGGAAGAACCTCAGATGACAATGAGGGTGTCCAAGCAGGCATTCCATTCACAGCTAAAACAAAACAAGCCATAGTCACGTTTATGATTACATACTGGGTATCAGAGGCATATATGCGGTTCCACTGCGAGGGGACACATGGGAATTTTTGGGGTGCAGTTGAGTAACTGAAAAATTATTCCAGAAATGCAGGAGATTATATTCGGTGTTTCGCAGTCTATCCTGCATCGATGTGCCCCTGTCAATATATCATGGCCATATATCATACACACACACGCATACTGGGGCTCTATTTCTAGACTTAGCTTCAAATATCTTAGAGGTTATATTGGATCACTCCCTTGATTCGAGTGTTTTTCTCCGGGTTTTCCAGTTTTTCTCCCTCCGCAAAACTCAACACGCTAAATCGTAATACAGTATATTGATCTGTGATCTATTGATAAGATCTGTGAGTTTGATCCCTGACTTTGATTAGCCCAGAGGTTGTTTCRGGGTTCTATCTGTGAGTTAGCGGTGCTCTTATTTAGATCAGCCCAGAGGTTGTTTCAGGGTTTGATGCCGGTATGAGTACGATCGCCTCTCACCTCTGAGGTCCAGCATTCGAATACCAGTCGCCTCTCAAAATCAACCCTAACTAATTCAATACTGACAGCCAGAGGCCCCATTGAGCCACTGCTGTGTTTGCGATAGTGATTAACGATGACGAGTTTTAAAGGGTATACTGAACGTGTCCTTACATTCGTCGTCGGAGACAGACGTTAGAAGTGAAGGCCCAGTCTCTCTCTTGGGCTCATCAGCAGCTTCTTTCTCCTCTTCCTCATCTTCTTCTTCGAATTCATCTTCAGATTTCTCAACGGGATTGTGCCATATACATCGACCCTGTAAAATGATTAAATATTACATTTAGATGAGATCTTTTATTTATTTTG